TGTGAAGAGGGGCTGTGAGTGCTGTGGAGAGTGGAAGAGCAGCTACACTGACCCTGCTGGTGGGCTCCACAGCTGGGGAATCTCTAGGTGGCAAACCCACAATCAGGCACCTAAAGGCTGCAGGGGTCTGCCCAGTCACCCCGCTACTCTCGCCTGCTCCATCCTTTTCCAGTCAGACACATTTACACCTAACAGTGTGCCCCTGGGGTGAGGGAGATGGCACGACACTGTTACCATAAGTGATACCAGGGGTCCCGGCACATAGGGCACACCCTTCAGTGCAGCGACAGCCAGTCCAGGGCACCCTGTTCTATGGCAATGCTCACGACAGGATCGCAGGGACTCAGGCGGTCTCCGTGACAACCTGGGCAGACGTTTGGCATGACAGTTTCTTCCTGGGGATTTCTGCTGGGAGGAAGAACACTAACAGAAACGTAGGCGTGTAGAGTTGGGGTGAGCTGACCGCCCAACTGCCAGGAAGTAGGAGATGATCACATCTGTCCCGTCCCCCGCCCCTTCAGAGATCTCGGTCACGGAGGGCAGTGGGGGGAATGGAGTCCCACCACCGTCAGTCCTGGTGTGGCCGGGGCTTCCACAGCTTAAAGAGCACACACCCCCGGGTGGGAGCTGCTTTCTTGAGTTCTCCCGGGCAAACGCTGGTCTTCCTCCTCCAGGCGGATCTTTACCCAAGGCCAAGAGCTGGCCGGGAGCAGCTCGGGTCGGCAGTTCCTGCGCCTGGTGGGAAGGTGGCCCAGGGGCCTCCTCCTGTCTCCATTCCGTTCCAGGAGAAATGCCCCCATTGCCACGGAGAGGGGCCTCCTCGGGGGGAAGTGAGGTGTTATAAGCAGAACTGAGAAATGGGTAAAAGAAAGACAGGGAAAAGCAAGAACAAAAACAAAATAGTGCCCTAACCCCTTATAAAAATTAAAGATGAAATTTACACAAATGCTTTGTCCATATTAAATTTCTTTAAAGAAACTGGTGCCTGTCCACAGCAGAGCTTCTGCTCTTTTGAAGTCTTAAATTGTTTAAATTAAAAAAAAAAAAAAAAAGACAAAAAAATTTAAACAAAACTGAAGGGAGAAAATGCAAACAAAGCTTCACATTGCTGGAGCTCCAGCTGTCGGGAGATGGCCGCTGGCCGGGCACCTGTACCCTCTGCCGTCCTCTGTGAGACTTGACGAGACTGTGGGTCCCGGGGATCAACCTGGAAGACAGAAGGCAGGGCGCGAGTGGACACTGGTCAGTGGGCTTGGGGTGCCTCCAAGCTCCAGATCTCCCACTAGGTGCCAGCACCCAACCGATGACCTCAGGAGCTGTGCTGTGCTGGGGCCAGGGAGAAGGTTTCTAAATAATTTATCTGAAGTGAATGTAGCTTCATTATTGCCACCCTGCCCCAGACACACATTCTTACTATTCAGTTGCAGGTTAAGTGACATGCCCGAGCTCACATGGCCTGAGGGGCAGACCCTGGCTGGGAGCCCAGGCACACAAATCCAGTCGATTGTGAATCCTGTGCCATATAACAGCTTTCTTCAGTGTTTACAAAAACGCCAGCGGACCCTAGGTACCCGTCCCTGCAGGTCTTGGCAGCCCTGGTTCCCCTCATATTTCCTTCCTCACTTCTCTAATCGTGCTGCCCTGAAATGTCAAAGCAACTCTCGAGTTTACTGATCCCATTTTAAGAGAATGAAAGAGACTCAGGTCTCTAAGAACAGAAACTAACTACTAGTCAGTGATGGCGAACCTATGACACGCGTGTCAGAGGTGACACGCGAACTCATTTTTTTGGTTGACTTTTCTTTGTTAAATGGCATTTAAATATATAAAATAAATATCAAAATATAAGTCTTTGTTTTACTATGGTTGCAAATATCAAAAAATTTCTATATGTGACACGGCACCAGAGTTAAGTTAGGGTTTTTCAAAATGCTGACATGCCGAGCTCAAAAGGTTCGCCATCACTGTACTAGGTAGCCAAGGTTCTCCTGTCTTAGGAGAGGCCAGAATCCCACAGCCGGGCCGTGGGGGCCCCCGAGCCAGGTGCTGGGTCCTGCGCAGTTGTGCACTGCAGGGGTCAGGAACCCAGTTCTGGAGCCAGAGCCTGTGGCAGACTCAACAGGCCCTACCACTTCACTGTGGACAAATTTAAGTCCTCGGTTCCTTGGTCTCGTCACCTGTACCTAAATCACAGGTTATTCTGAGGACCAAATGAACTAACACACGTAAAACTTAGAACATTGCCCCTAGCCCTACTACTAGCTATTATTTGAGAATCAATCGCCTTAGGGCTGGGCCTCAGGAACAAGACAAGCCACCTGCCCTTCAGGGACCTGTTCTAGTGAAGCCTCCAATACAAGCACCTACAGAGGTCAGCCTTGGGCCGGCCCTCACCCAGCCCAGCTCTCCCAGCTTGAGCCTGATCAGAGCTAAGTGCAGCCCTAATCTAGGCAGGGTGCCATCCAGGGCAGCAACGCTGCAGCCTGAACCGCTGAATCAGACAAGTGTTTCACCGTGTGCTTGAAATCCCCCCACTGGCTTCAGCACTCTGCAAGCTCTGTGTGGCCTGAGAGCTGCCTTCCCACATTACTTGCCCTGAGCAGTCTGACAACACTGGCCGTCGTCCTCAGGTCACGGGGAGATACCTGGCTAGTCCTCAAGAGAGGCAGTGGGGTGCAGTGATAAGGAACGGTTTACTTCCTGTCAGCCTCAGTGTCCTCCTCTGAGAAATGGGGAGGGCTCTATTTTGAGGTCTGAGGGGAATAACTAAAAAGTACCTGGCTACAGCAGGAACTGGCATACTCGATGAGCCCATTCTCTCCCAGCCATCTGTCCCCACCAGAAATGACGAATGTATGAGATTTAAACACCTTGGTCCTCAGCCACTGAACCAGCAACCCTGCTCGGAGCTGGGCAAGGGTGCCACGAAAAGGACACACACCGTGGGAGGAGGGAGCACAGCCTTTTGGAGAGCAACATGGCACTGTTTTCAGAGCTTCCGCCGTGTTTGGACCTGTAGACCCTATAGTTCCACTGCTGCAAATGTATCTTAACTGATAACCCTAAACATGAAAAGGACTTGATGAATAAAGATGTTCACTGAAGTATATTTAAAGTATGAGGCAACAATCCACAATAGAGGAGATTTAAGCAAATGATGCATCCACGCAATGGTATTTGCAGAGGAAATGAGGAGGCTGTGTGGCATTTTGAACAATATCATAGCAGAAGCACTTCCCTGGGTTAAGTGGGGAGAAGCAGGCTACAAGTTCTGCAGCAGAGTATGCCCATAACTGAAAACACAAAACTTCCAAACGTAGGAAAATCTGCAAAAAATACACCACAATGTTGTACTTGTCACGGGTGTGCCTTCTTCCACTTTTCCTGTATTTTTAGTACTGAGTGACATCACCCTGTCACGCTCTGTTCTGTAATGGAAATAGTGGACTCTAATCAACAGGAAAAGCTGGCAGCTCCGACGCGGAGGTCCATGGAGCAGCGAGCAGCCCAAGAAACCAGACCCGCGTCTTTTCTGGACTCTTCCACATACAGTGGACATGGAGAATTCCCCACACCTGTCAGACCTGAGAGGTGAGACGGATTCCCTTCTCTGCCTCCCAGGTGAGGGGACCCAGCGTCCGCAGGTGGAGTACAGCAGGAATGGATGATAAAGGCACTGGATAGCTATCTGATGCGGAAAAAAATACTGGATTCCTAGGCCCAACCCTTTCCTCTGCTGCTTCTGTCTCCCTTCCTGTTAAGTCCTTTCAACAAAAACCCAGTGATGGGCCCTGCATCGATCCAGCAGCCCCTCATATCCAGCACTAGTCAGCATGCCTACTGCCTTCAGCAGACAAAGCAGAGCAATCAGGAGACGGGGAGAGGGAGAGCTTGGGGAGGACCTCACCAACAGAGACACGCTAAATCCTCGTGAAGTAGGACAAGAAAAGCCTGATAAGTTGTATGGTCATGTGTCATCTGCTAAAATAATCTCTGGGACCAGTTATGACCTTTTCAACACCGCTTTCCTTCCTCCCTGGTAGGACCCAAGCGAAGACAACTTCCTCCAAAGGATGATCATCAGCAGGAGCTGGCCCCCGGCAGCTGAAAAGCAGTGTGGTCGAGGAGGCAGAGGTTCTGGAGCCAGAGTCCTTTTTCCATAATAACTGGTGGGACAGAGTGTGACTGCAGAAGGTCGAACCCCTCGTCCGGTGCTCTGCAAGAGCTCCTGCGACACCAGCACGCAATGACCGCTGGAATCACTGGGTCCCTTGCCAGGAACCAAGGCTGACATTGCCCACAGGCTCCTCCACCCTCCCTCCCTTGGACTGGCTTTGGCCCTCCTGGTAGGTCTGCTGGCTTCACCCTGTGGCAGGGACAGGAAAAGGAGAAGGGACTCTCTTCTGTGGAGAGGACCTGGACTTTGAGTCTCTCTCCCCTTAGAGAAGGTACAGCTTTCCAGGGAGCCAATGGCAGAAACTGCACTGGAAGACAGAGGGGAGTCCTTTCTTGAGCCATGGAGAGGGAGGCTCAGGTTGACGCCCCAGCCACACAGTTCTGGGCGGAAACAGCAGCAGACCCTCCCATGCACTTCATCCAGAGGGGCCAGGCCTCAGCTCCCCGACTCCCCAGGCTGGGCTTAACTGCTCAGTTACCAGCCTCAATCAGAGCGTGCCTTGTCCCTTTCAGTGGAACCCCTACCTCTGATCAGAGCCCTCCCTAGAGGGCAAAGCCACACCCACTAAGCAAACATGGTGTGATAAACCTGTAGATGACACCTGTCGCACACTCCGTCTTTCACTGTCCCCATCTTGTGAGGATGGATTTGCCCATTTTAAGAAGGGAGTAGGCCCAGAGAGATGGAGCAAGTTGGCCCATATCACAGAGCTGTTGAGCAGTAGAACCAGCACTCAGTCTAAATTTTGCAGCCCCTTCCCCGCCCAGTCTCTCCACTATGACAGTCCTCAAGTGTTTTACACCTACCGCCTGCCTCACTGCACTCGACAACTGAGGTAGGAGCTGTGGCCACTCCAGGTTTAGAGATGAGGAAACGGAAGCTCAGAGAGATCTGCTCCTACTTTTAGCCTAGAAATTTATGATGTCAAGTCCCTGCCTACAGAGCGAAGTGCTTAAGAGCTTACGCAGAGTTTCAAACCCATTTAAGCCTTTCATTTGGAAACAGATTCAGGCAGAAAAAGGAGCATGGAAGGCTTGGCTTAGGTATCTCTGCACAGGTCTGATGTCCAGAGCACAAACAGGGATGTGATGCCAACCAGGCAGTGAGAAGCTTCCGGCAAGTGCCTCCGCCAGCCAAGCACTGGTCTCTGCAAGGACACCAGGGAACCAAACTGTTCCCACAAGGCCACTGGTAGTGTGGAGACTTTCCGAAGTTGGGAGAGCTGCAGTGGGAGCAAACGATGATGGGGCTGGGACTGGGGATGGAATGGGCTCACACACAGAAAAGAAAGCCATCTGGTTGGCGTGCTCATAGACCACAGCACAGTATAAACTCAAATTGCGGTGCTACTGGGTGGTGGCCAAGAACTCACTCTTACCTAAGTTCTCCCTGTAGTCCTGTGTGGTGATATCACTGTAGCTAATGACACATTTGATATGCTAGATACCATGCAAGATTAATATGCAATGCTTCCTTTGTCCAAACAAAGGCCCACGTAGGAATTCTCCCATTTCACAGATGAGCAAACTGAGGCTTGGGTGTTAATTTTCAGCACATCATGCTGTGGAGGCACAGAGGCAAGGTAATCTCTGGGTCACAGAGGGCAGGCCTCTCCTTCTAAATAGGATTAGCTTCAAAATGAGTCATTCTTCACTTATTTAATACACCAAACAAAGCAGCTGGCTTTCATATTCAGTTTCATGCCAGCCCTTGGGGGTTCAGTGGCCCCAGACACCACTGTCAATTCTAACCTGTTAAAGCCAAGCTTTCTGATGCATCATTCCCCTAAGGCTTGGCTAGCAACAGTGGTGCTAGGAGTAGGGCAAAAAACAGAGATGCCAGTGCCGTGGGCAGCCCCTGGCACAGTACAGGGGGTTGGTCCTGTTGTCAGGGTAAGAAAAATGGGGGTGAGATGACAAATGTGGTAACAGCGTTTTCTGTCTTCAGGTCTACAGAAGGGAATAGGGAACAAAAGCCTAGAGATTATCAAAGCATACCCACCAGGAGCTTCATGGTCTCTGAGCCCTGAC